GTGGCGCTGGGGCCGGGAGAGACGGGTCAGTTTCTGGTCTATGTGGCGGGCAAGATGGTGGCACCCATGCCTGGGCATGTGGTCGGCGATCATCCGTAGTGCAGGGTGGCAAATATGCTGGGTTACCCCCCATCGCTCTTAGGGGGCCCTCTGCACTGGTCCCATGGGCTGGGACCTCGCATCACAGGCCTCGTTCCCTCCCGCTGACCTGCGTCCCCTTGGCTCCCGGTCCCTGACTTGATACTTAAATCATGAACAGCTCCTCTCCCTCCCCCCGCCAGACTTTGTGTGTTTGAGCTTTTATGCGTAAAAGTCAGGCTGCTGCCAGCAGCGTGAGCGGGGGGGTGTGTGTTGGCGTTGGATGCGTGTGTTGTCCGTTTGTGTGCTCTGCTTAGTGCAGACATTATGACTTGCCAGGCTGGAAAAGCATTGTTAGCTTGGGGGTCTCCCCCCTGAGCTGTCAGTTTCATAAGGTTTCCTATTTTGTCCCATATTTCTATGTGAAGGGCTTCAACTAATGGCAGTTCAGGTACAGCTGCCTTAATAAAGCATATCAGTTCTGTTAGTTCGGTCCTTGTGGCTTGTATATGATATGGTTTTAGCAGGATAGCCAGTGCATCTGTGTCCTGTGATATCTCAGTGGAGAGAAAATTTCTCATTTTACCTTTCAGTCTCGGCGCTGTAGACGTGCGCTGCTGGAAAGTCTTTGTCTATTTGCTGGCTTCTCCCGGTTCTCAGTCGATTGGGTCTGCGTGGGTGGCAGAGGCGCTGTTTGGCGGTGGTGGCGACAGGGCTCGTTGGCGTGGGCTGCGGTGGCTGCGGGCTGCGGCGGGCTCGTCTGCGGGTGGCGGCGGCGGACACGGGCGCGTGGTGGCTGCGGGCTGCGGCGGTGCTCGGCGGTAGGCAATCGGCTGGTGAGCGCGGGCGTGTCTGCAAGCGGCGTCTTCAAGTGGCGTCTTCAAGCAGTGTCTGCAAGCAGCGGGAAGTCGCGGCGCGGCGCGTGTTCGGTTCAGCTTCAGTTTGTCCTGCGTGGTTTTGAACATGGCACGGGGGGAGGCTCGGCGGGGTCGTGGCGTGGCTTCGGCTGGTTCCGCGTGGCTTTTGAGCGTGGTGTGGGGCCGGCAGGAAGCAGCAGGCTGCAGCAGTGAGCTGCAGCAGTTTCTGCTAGGCAGAAAACTGATGCGTGCTTCGCGGGGTCTGGCGGTCGTGCTGAGGATGTTAGAAGGTAGAAGCAGTGGAGCTGCTGCTACGCACACGGCCTAGCCGTGGCAAGCGGTGGGTAGCGGGGCTTCCCCGGCAGTTTTAAGGTGCTCTGCCACCCGGGTCTCCAAGCTGCGGACACGGCACTGCTTAGGGAAAAGTCCTTGCCACGTAGGATGTTGGCGCTGCCTCTCAGCGTGACTCACCAGTGTATGCTGGACCCCGCTTCGCTCTCTCCGACTGTGTCGATCTGTCAGTTTTTTCTTTTCTTCTTTCTTCTTTCTTTTATTTCCCATGCACTATCTCTAATATTTTTGGAGCTCACTAAACTAGGATTGCGTTTCTCAGACACTCTGAGACAACGACTTAAAGACGTCTGCGTTTTTTTCGGTGAAAATTCCTGTCTCGAGATAATTGAGACAATATTGAGACAATATCGGAATTACGGAGTTTCTCGCCTGATTCAGGATATGCTAAACTGACTTAATATAAGTTCAGAGTCCCTGTTTGGGCGCCATATGTAGCGTGGCGGTACTTTACATGGTAAAGAAGGAAGCATACTCCTTGTGAGGTGGTGAACAAAGAGAATTTATTTCAAATTCAGCGCTGGTTTTATCCCTTAATCCCATGTGACTTCTTTGACCAATAAGGTTGTCTATGTCGGCGCATGCGCCCTCGGACACTCTTGCCTTGGTACATCTCCTGTACCTTAAACACGCTCCCTACAACTAGTGCCCAGTCCAGCAGAAGCATCACTGCCCTGCTCCTGCTGCCACACTATTTCTGATACAGGCAGAATGTTGGCCTTCTTGCCCACCTGGGCACCTGCTGGCTCAGCTTCAGCCTCTGTCCACCAGCACCCCCAGAGCCTTTCTCACGGGGACCCTTTGCAGCTACTCTTCTCCCAGCATGGAGCTGCAGGGGATTATTGTGGCCAGAGGCACCAAAGGCACTCTTGAACCTCATGCCCATGGTGTCAGTCCAGAGGTCCAGCCTGTCCAGGTCCCTCTGCACAGCCTTCCTACCCTCCAGCACATTGACGCCGCAAGCCAACTTGCTGTCATCTGCCAATTTGTTCATGGAAGACTCAATCCCCTCATGCAGATACCCACCAAAATTATGAAACAGGACTGGGCCTGTTACCCAGTAAGTTCTATTTCTTGACAAAGGAGCCCAAGCAGGACTGGAGAGAAATTGTAGGCAGGAGATTGAATTGGAACAATAGACAATGGATGATAGACAAGTTCTGGGCCATGTCCATTTGTTAGAAAAACAAATTAAAAGTTTAAAGCCTGACATGCTTTTTTGATATTTTTCAGGGGGATTTTTAGGTGGTTATTGGGATTTACTGGTTCGGGCTTGGGTTGCTGGGGGTCACTGGGTGTTACTGGGGTGGGGTTTGGGTTTACTTGCTTAGCATTTAGACTTACTGGTTTGGGCTTTGGGGTTCCTGGGAGTCACTGATTGGTGTTCCTGGTTGCTGGTTTGGTGTTACTGGTTTGGGCTTTGGGGTTACTGGGAATCACTGGTTTGGGGATTGGTCCATCCTCCTTTATATTGGTCCATACCAGGTGGTTTATGGGATGTAAGAAGGGTTGTAGATTGGTTTATGCTGGTTTCTACTGGTTTCTACCGGTTTCTACCGATCTATACTGGTCTGTACCAATCTGTACCAGTCCATACCAGTCTATACCAGTCCATACTGGTCGTTATTGATCCACGTTCCTTTATACTGGTCCACACCAGGTGGTTTATGTGATGGAAGAGTGTAGCGTTAATGCCCTTGTATAACAAGGAATAATGATGCTCTTCGTGCGTTGGTGTGGTCAAAGAGGGTTTATTCAAAACTCGCGCTCGCTTTTATCCTTACATGTCATGTGACTTCTTCAACCAATAGAGTTATATGTGACCGCGCATGTTCTCTTGGGCCTATTTCCCTGGCACCTCCTTCATGCCTTCAGACATGCCTCCCACAGAAGAGGACTTTTAGAGTGTTTTAAACTGGTTTGCACTGGCCCATAGAAGTCCATAGCAGTCTGTATCAGCCTATACTGGTCCATACTGTTCCATACTCCTTTCTACTGGTCCATTCTAGGCGGCTCATGGTACATAAGAGAGGTTCTGTATTGGTTTATGCTGGTTTGTACCAGTCCATGGTAGTTTGTATCAATGTGTATCAGTCCCTGCTGGTCCCTACTGGTTCGTACCAGCCCATACTGGTCTATACTGGTCCATATCAGGTGATTTATGGGATGGAGTAGTAGTTGTAGGGTGGTTTATACTTCCAATACTTTGTATTGGTTTGTACTGATGTGCACGGGTCCATACTGGTCCTTACTCATCCATACCCCTTTATACTGATCCGTAGCAGCTGGTTTATGGGATGGAAGAGGGCTTCTATACTGGTTTATATTGGTTTGTAGGAGGCGTGTCCCAGGGGCAGGGGAACCAAGGGACATATGCAGGGACAGACAACCCCATTGGTGCTAAGGTCACGTGGTTTTAGGGGATAAAAGGGAGGGCGAGATTCAAATAAATCCTCTTTGATTCCACCCACATCAGAGAGCGGACTCATTCTTTATCATATAAAGACCGCCAACCCTACATTGGTTTATAGTGGTTTTTATTGGCTTGTACTGGTCTCTTCTGGTTCCTACTGGTTCATACCAGTCCATACTGGTCTATACTGGTGCAGAGCAGGTGGCTTATGGGATGGAATAGAGGCTGTAGAGTGGTTTATACCGGTTTATATTGGTTTATACCAGTCCATACCAGTCTATACCAGTCTATACCAGTATGGACTACAAGGGTCCATACTTGTCCTGACTGGTCTGTACCAGTTCATACCAGTCCATACTAGTCTATACTGGTCCATACGAGGTGGTTTATAGGACAGAATAGAGATTGTAGAGTGGTTTATACTGGTTTATATTGGTTTGTAGCAGTCTGTGTCAGTCTGTATCAGCCCATACTGGTCCTGATTTGTCCGTACTGGTTCATGCCAGTCCATACTGGTCTATACTGGTCTGTATCAGGTGGTTTATGGGACGGAATCGAGATTGTAGAGTGGTTTATACTGGTTTATATTGGTTTGTAGCAGTCTGTGTCAGTCTGTATCAGCCCATACTGGTCCTGATTTGTCCGTACTGGTTCATGCCAGTCCATACTGGTCTATACTGGTCTGTATCAGGTGGTTTATGGGACGGAATCGAGATTGTAGAGTGGTTTATACTGGTTTATATTGGTTTGTAGCAGTCTGTGTCAGTCTGTATCAGCCCATACTGGTCCTGATTTGTCCGTACTGGTTCATGCCAGTCCATACTGGTCTATACTGGTCTGTATCAGGTGGTTTATGGGACGGAATCGAGATTGTAGAGTGGTTTATACTGGTTTATATTGGTTTGTAGCAGTCTGTGTCAGTCTGTATCAGCCCATACTGGTCCTGATTTGTCCGTACTGGTTCATGCCAGTCCATACTGGTCTATACTGGTCTGTATCAGGTGGTTTATGGGACGGAATCGAGATTGTAGAGTGGTTTATATTGGTTTGTGCCAGTCTACATTAATCTGTACTGGTCCATACCAGTCTGTACCAGTCCTGACTAGTCCATACTGGTCCTGACTGGCCTCACTGGTCCCAGCTCCATGCCCTGTCCACATTGGGGTTCCGGGATCACCAGGAGGTGGCGGCGCTGCAGCGGAACAGGGGCAACCAGTGGGGGGTGCTGAGGGAGCTGCAGCAGCCCTGGCTCCGCCCCTTCCTGCAGCACCTGTGGTGGCCACCAGGGGTGCTGCACTTCGAGTGCCCCAACCAGCAGGTGAACTGGGCAAACTGGAGGAGTGGGGGGACTGGGAGGAACTGGGGGGGACTGGGAGGGGATTGGGAGGAGTGGGAGGGAACTTGAGGGAGACTTTTGGGGACAGGGAGAAGATTAAGGGGACTGGGAGGAGTTTGGTGGGGACTGGGAGAGACTGGGGGGGACTGGGGGGCACTGGGAGGGGTTTGGAGGGATTGGAAGGGGATTGAGGGGACTGGGAGAGAATTGGGGGGGACTGGGAGGGAAGTGAGGGGGGCATGGAGGGGAATGGGAGGAGATTGGGAGGGACTGGGAGGGGATTGGGGGGAACTGGGACTAGGGGGGCACTGGGAGAGACTGGGAGGGGATTAGGGGGAACTGGGGGAGTTTGAGGGAGACTGAGGAGGGACTGGGGGCCTGGGAGAGGACTGATGGGCACTGGGAGGGAACTGAGGGGGGAATGGGAGGAATGGAAGAGACTGGGATAGGGGAGACTGGGAGGGGGCTTGGGGGGACTGGAAGGGGATTGGGAGGGCCTGGGAGAGGATTGGGGGGATTGGAGGGAACTGGGAGGGACTGGGGGGACTGGGAAGGACTAGGTGGGAACTGGGAGGGACTGCGAGGGGATTGGGAGGGACTGGGAGGAGATTGGGCAGGGAATGGGAGGGACTGGGATGGGACTGGGGGGACTGGGAGGGACTGGGAGGCAGTGGGGTCCCAAACCCTTACTGGTCTTACTGGTTTAGGGCTTTGAGTTATTGGGAGCAACTGGGATTTACTGGTTGGAGTTTTGGGTTTATCGGGAGTTACTGGGAGTGGATTTAGGCTTACTGGAAGTTACTGGTTTGGGGTTTTTGGTTACAGGTTTCGAGTTATTGGGAGCCACTAGGTGTTACTGGTGTGGGGTTTGGGCTTCCTGGGAGTCACTGATTTGGGGTTTGGTGTTACTGGTTGGCTCTTTGGTCTTACTGGGAGCTACTGGTCCTTACTGGGAGGGGGGGGTCACCCGTACCGTCCCCTCCCCCCAGGTGCTGATCTGGCAGATCTTGGCCACCCTGGATGTGGCCAGTTGGGGCCAGGCCTTACTGGTGGCCAGTTTGGGGTGCGAACTGGGACTGAGCCGGGTGGAGCCCAGTAGCGAGGGCTTACTGGGAGAACTGGTGGAGGTGGTGAAGGACTACACGGACCAGGTGGCCCTAAGGAGGCGGCTCCGCTACGAGTGTGCTGTGTGCGGGTGGGGCCTGCCCTGGGCACAGGTGGGCACTGGCTTGGACTGGTTTGTACTGGTTTAGTCTGGGAGGGGCTGTGAGGGGGTTGGGAGGGAGTAGGAGGTTCTTAAAGGGTGTTAAGAGGGGATTGGGGGTACTGGGAGGGAATTGGGAGAGGATTGGGAGGGTATTGGGGGGCATTGGGAGGGACTGGGAGGGTGTTTAGGGTTACTGGGAGTTACTGGGAAAGGGTTTGCTGTTGCAGGGAGGGGGTTTGGGGTGTCTAGGAGTTACTGGGATGGGGTTTAGGTTTACTGGGAGCAACTGGGAGGTGGTTTAGGGTTACTGGAGAGAGTTTAGATTTACTAGTGTGGAGTTTAATGTTACTGGTTTGGGGTTTGATGTTAATGGGTGGGTGTCTGGAACTACTGGGAGTGAATTTAGGGTTACCGGGAGCTACTGGTACAGGTGTGGTATTGGCTGCAATTCCACCTGTGACCACCGGGGGAGCACCATAAGCAGCTTCCCAATTGAACCTGTCACTGGGATGTTACTGGTGTGTTACTGGTCCTTACTGGTTTGTACTGGTGCAGATAAAATGGCCGCTGGGCTGCTCGTGGCCGCTGGGCTGCTCGTGCCCGTTGTGCCCCGAGTGCTTCCAGCTGCAATTCTGGGTGGGGGCCCTGTTTACTGGGAGTTACTGGGACTTACTGGTTTGGGGTTTAGGGTTACTGTGAATTACTGATTTGAGGGTTAGGGTTAGTGGGAGTTACTGGTTTGAAGGTTAGGGTTACTGAGAGTTACTGGTTTGGAGTTTAGGGTTATGAGGAGGCCATTTAATGTTACCAGTTTAGGGCTTGAGGTTACTGATTCAGGCATTAAAGTTACTGGGACTTATTGGTTTGTAGTTTGGGGTTACTGGGATGCAATTTAGGGTTACTGGAACTTGGTGGGGTGGGGTTGGGGTTGCTGGTTTAGGGTTTGTTGTTACTGGGAGTAACTGTTTTAGGATCTGGAGTTACTGGGACTTACTGTTTTGGGGTTTGGCATTACTGGGAGTTATTGAAGGCTTACTGGAGAGTTACTGGAGGATTACTGGGAACTACTGGAAGTGACTGGGAGCTCCTGGTTTTGGTGTATTACTGTCTGCAATTCCACCTGTGACCACCGGGGGCAGCACTAACAGTGTCCGTAGCAATAACAGTTACTGGTGTGTTACTGGTGGGTTACTGGTCTTTACTGGTTTGTATTGGTGCAGATGCAGTGGCTGCTTGTGCCCGCTGTGCCCTGAGTGCTTCTGGCTGCTCTTCTGGGTGGGGGCCCTCCTTACTGGGAATTACTGATTTAGGGTCTGGAGTTATTTGGACTACTGGTTTGGGGTTTGGCATTATTGGGAGTTATTAAGGGCTTACTGGAGGGTTACTGGGAGCTACTGATTTTCATGCATTATTGGCTGCAATTCCACCTGTGACCACCAGGGGCAGCACTAGCGCTAGCCATATGTAATAACGGCTACTGGTGCGTCACTGATGCATTACCGGTCCTTACTGGGGTGTACTGGTGCAGATGCAGTGGCTGCCCGGCTGCTCGTGCCCGCTGTGCCCCGAGTGCTTCCGGCTGCACTTCATGGTGGGGGTCCAGGAGAGGGGGGTGGGGGCCCTGGGCTGCCCCAGCTGCTCCCATCCCGACCTGCGTGACAATGCCCAGCACCTCTGGTACTGGTCCACACTGGAACTGCAGGTACTGGGAGCACTGGGGGGGGGGAGTGGAGGGGATTGGAAAGGACTGGGAGGGATTGGGAGGGACTGGGAGGGGGTTAAAGGGTGTTAAAAGGGGGTTTGGGGGCACTGCTTTATACTGGGAGGGGAGGGATTGGGAAGGAATTGGAGATGGACTGGGAGAGCATTGGGGAAGACTGGGAGGGGACTGGAGGGGATTGTGGGGCACTGGAAGGGATTGGGAGGGCATTGAGGGGGATTGGGAGGGACTGGGAGGAGGTTTGGGGTTACTGGGAGGGCATTGGGTTACTGGCACTTACTGGGAGCTACTGTCAGGAAGTTTGGGGTTACTGGGAGCTACTGGTCCTTACTGGCAGTCACTGGTTTGGGGTTTTTGGTTACTGATCTGTGGTCACAGGGAGTTACTGGTTTGGGGCTTGGGGTTGCTGGGAGGGTGTTTGGGGTTACTAGTCCTTACTGGTTTGTACTGGTTTGCAGCTCCAGAGCTGTTTGGACCCCGACACCTTTGACTTTGTGACCCAGAAACTGATGGAGCTGGACCTGCTTCAGGACCCCCAATTCCAGTGGTTCCCCCATGTACTGGGAGGGACTGGGAAGGGCTGGGAGGGGATTAGGGGGGACTGGGAGGGGAGTGGGGGGGGGGACTGGGAGGGGAGTGTGGGGGGGACTGGGAGGAGGGCTTAGGGTTACTGGAAGGGACTGGGAGGGAACTGGTGGGTAGTGGAAGGGACAAGGAGGTGCTTTAGGGTTACTGGGAGGAACTGGGAATTACTGAGGTTTCAAGTTACTGGGAGGGAATTTATGGTTACCGGGAGTTACTGGTTTGGGCTTTGGTGTTACAGGTTTGGGGTTTGGTGTTACCAGGAATTACGGATTTGGGGTTTTGGGGTAAGTAGGAATTAGTTTAGGGTTACTAAGAGGACTAGGAGTTACTGGAAAGGGAGTTATTGTTGCTGGTTGTTAGTGGTTTGGTGTTTGCTGTTGCTGGTTGTTACTGGAGGGGTGTTTTGCTGTTCTTGGGGGGGTCCCAGGGGGTCTCTGAGCCCCCCTAACTCCCACTCCCCCAGTGCTCCTTCGGGTTCATCTTCGAGGCCGAGCGGGGCCCGGCCCAGTGTCCCCAGTGCCACCAGTGCTGCTGTCCCCGGTGCCAGTACCCGGTGAGGGGGGGCTGGGTGGTCCTGTGAGGGTTTGGAGGATCCTGAGGTGAGTTTTGGGGGGATAAAAAGGGCTTTGAGAGGTCACTGGGGGTGTTTTGTGGATTCCCTGGGAGGTCTTTGGGGGTCTCTTGGGGATCCCTGGAGGTCTTTGGGGGGGTCATGGAGGGGGTTTGAGGGGTCTCAGGGAGGGTTGGGGGATCTCTGGGGTTTTTGGGGGAATCCTAAAGGGAATTTGGAATGTTAGGGGGGCATGGGGAAGGTTTGGGGGGGAGGTTGAAGGGGAATTGTGGGGTTGGGTGTTTCCTTGGGGGTGTTTGGGGGATTCCTGAGGGTCTTTTGGGGTCTTGGGGTCCCTGGGGGTTCACCTGGGGTTTCTGAGGGGGTCTCTGGAGGATCCCTGGGGGACTCTGGGGGGCTTTGCAGGGTCCTGTAGGAGTTTTGAGGGGTCCCAGGGAGGGTTTGGGGAGTTCTTGGGGGTCTCTGGGTTACTTGGGGGTCCCTTGGCATTTTGGGGGGTCCCTGGTGACCCCCAAACCCCCCCAGTGGGACCCCAGCACTCCACCCTGTCCTGTGCTGAGGTTGGGGCCTGGTTGAGCTCCTGGGACCCCCAAGGAGCCTCCGGGGGTCTGGAGTTTTTTCTAGGGGAGCATGGAATCAGTGAGGGGAGTCCTGGGGGGCTCTGAGGGGCCGTGGGGCAGATTGCAGGGAATCTGGTGTGATTTGGGGAGTCCTGGGGGGGTTGGAGAGGATTTTAGGGGTCCCTGGGGGGGCTTGGGGGAGGTTTGGGGGATCCTAAAGAGAGATTAGGGGAATCTCTGCTCCATACTGGGGAGTGAGAGGGAGGATTTGGGAGATCTGGGGGGTTCTGAGGGAGATTTGGGAGGTCTGGGGGGGAATTGGGGGGTCTCAGTCCCATATTTGGAGGTGGTGGTGATTTGGGGGGTCCCAGGGTGTGAGGGAATGCAAAGATTATGAATCCTGGAAAGAATGACATTAGAAGCGGGTCTGTCACAGCGGCAGCTCTCTGGGATCGAGCGGAGTGGAAAAGCAGCAATGATTTATTTCCATTTGTACTGTACAGTTCTTCCTTAGACTATGTAACCACATGGCCCCCCCACGCCGTGCCATGTTGTCTCCCCTCCCCAAACTGATCCCCGCCTCTGCATAAGCATGATTGGTTGTCTCATCCTCTTCTCCCCAATCCCTGGTTTGCTATTGGACTTTGATCCTCCTGTATCCCCCATTGGTTAGCAGAGCCCTCAAGCCACTCCCTTTCCCCCAGACTTTGGTCCAATCACGTTCCTCCTTCTAAGCCCTCCCCTGGAGACATTAAGAGCTCACAGGAGTTTCAAATAAACCACTTTTCGCCCTGGAATCCAGAGAGGAGATTTGGTGGCTCTTTTCTCCTACTGAAGGGGGACCACGCCACTGAGACCCTCTCTGAGAAACCGTGACTGAGGAATCACTACAATCAACTCTGTTAATTGACGCCCAACGTCTGGACGAACTCAGCAAATTTCTACCGTGTAGAATTTTTCTGGGCATACCAGGCTCAAGCAATGAAGTGTTCTTGGCTTCCTGCTCAAACAGATTTCTACAACTTAGCATTGGATTTCGACCCACCAAAAGAACTACGTAGGTCAGCAGTTGTATAGTTTCGAAACTCTATTTTATAATACTCATGGGGGCTCTATCTTCAAAACAAGAGCACGATACCTACAAACACTTAAAAAGCTTCATTTATTTCCATGGACATCCACTACACAAAGATTCCCTAAAAGCGCTGATTAAATGGATTTCCAAGAACAGTTACATGCTGCCCAGTACCATAACCTACCGTGAGTGGGACACATTGGGACATATATTATTGAGTGCTATACAAACAAATGACTCTTTAGCATCACGAGCAGCAATTGCATGGAATTCTGAAGCATGCTACAGAAAAATGAGATTGATGAGAAAGAAAGCCTTCCAGGCTTTCTTTCCTGGGGATAAGGGCTGTGGTTTGCTGTTTTCAGCCCTGCCTCACAGCTGCCAGCCCGACTCCCAAAATTGCATACAAAGATTTCTCCCAGACCAAAGGTTCCAGCACAGAAAGCTCTTGCTGCCAATGGATTCCACATGCTGGTGCACCAACTGCAACACAGAGCCAAAGCTTCCAGGCTTCCTTTCCTGGGGATGAGGGCTGTGGTTTGCTTTTTTCAGCCCTGCCTCCGAACTGCCAGACGACTCCCAAAATTGCATACAAACAAAGATTTCTCCCAGACCAAAGGTGCCAGCATAGACTCCAAAAACTCGATATGGACGAAGATTCCTCCCAGACTGAAAGAGGCAGCACAGAAAGCTCTTGCTGCTCACCGGGTCCGCAAGTTGGCCCACCAACTGCACCACAAAGCCAAAGCTTTCTTTCTTTCCTGGGGATGAGGGCTGTGGTTTCTATTTTCAGCCCTGCCTCACTTCTGCCAGCCTGACTCCTAAAATTGCATACAAACAAACATTCCTACCAGACTGAAAGAGCCAGCACAGAAAGCTCTTGCTCACCATGGAGACAACAGGCTGCCCCAGCAACTGCACCACAAAACAAAATCTTCCAGGTTTTCTTTCCCGGGGGTTAAGGGCTGTTGTTTGCTTATTTCAGCCCTGCCTTCAAACTGCCAGCCCGACTCCCAGTTACATATAAACAAAGATTCCTCCCAGACCAAAGGTACCAGCACAGAAAGCTCTTGCTGCCCATGGAGTCCCCAGGCTGGCCCACCAACTGCACCACAAAGCCAAACCTTCCAGTCTTTCTTTCATGGGGATAAGGGCTGTTTTTTGATTTTTTAAGCCCTGCCTCACAACTGCCAGTCCTATTCCCAAAATTCCATATGGATGAAGATTCCACCAAGACCAAAGGTGCCAGCAGAGAAAGCTCTTGCTGCCCATGGAGTCCCCAGGCTGGCCCACTAACTGCACCACAAAGCCAAAGCTTCCAGGCTTTCTTTCCTGGCGATAAGGGCTGTGATTTTCTTTTCTCCGCCCTGCCTTCGGACTGCCAGCCCGACTCCCAAAATTCCACATGGACCAAGATTCCTCCCACACCAAAGGTGCCACTACAGAAAGCTCTTGCTGCCTATGGAGTCTCCAGGCTGGCCCACCAACTGCACCAAAAAGCCAAAGCTTCCAGTCTTTCTTTCATGGGGATAAGGGCTGTGGTTTGCTTTTCTCAGCCCTGCCTCCGAACTGCCAGCCCGACTCCCAAAATTGCATACAAAGATTCTTCCCAGACCAAAGGTGCCAGCACAGAAAGCTCTTGCTGCCCATGGAATGCCCAGGTTGACCCACCAACTGCACCACAGAGCCAAAGCTTCCAGGCTTTCTTTGCTGAGGATAAGGACTTTGGTTTGCTGTTTTCAGCCCTGCCTCCCAACTGCCAGCCGACTCCAAAAATTCCATACAAACAAAGATTCCTCCCGGATCAAAAGTGCCAGCATAGAAAGCTTTTGCTGCCCATGGAGTGCCCAGGCTGACACACCAACTGCAACACAAAGCCAAAGCTTCCAGACTTTCTTTGCCGGACAAAAGGGCTATTGTTTGCTTTTCTCAACCCTGCCTCACAAGTGCCGGCCTGACTCCCAAAATTTCACACGGACGAAAATTCCTCCCAGAACAATGGTTCCAGCACAGAAATCTCCTGCTGCCTATGGATTCCGCAGGCTGGCCCACCAACTGCACCACAAAACCAAAGCTTCCAGACATTCTTTGCTGGAGAAAAGAGCAGTTGTTTGCTTTTTTAAGCCCTGTTTCCGAACTTCCAGCCCGACTCCCAAAAGTGCACACAGAGGAAGATTCCTCCCACACCAAAGGTGCCCACCCAGAAAGCTCTTGCTGTGCACATAGTGCCCAGAGTGCTGCACCAATGGCAGTGGAGAGATGGAGGGTCAGGCCTTTTTTCTTGGTTGGATGGGCAACTGTTTGTGGGCGGGAGCCCTGTTCTTAAATCAGCCCTCCCAAGACCTAAAGTGAATACGGATGAAGATTCCTGCACTACGTGCGAAGGAAGAGATTTCTGGGCAGGCACCTTTTGTCTGGGAGGAATCTTTGTCCGTATTCACTTTTGGCCATTCTGTTGGTGCAGCACTCTGGGCACTATGTGCACAGCAAGAGCTTTCTGGGTGGGCACCTTTAGTCTGGGAGGAATCTTCGTCCGTATTCACTTTTGGACCTCGGACGGCTGATTAAGGAACGGGGCTCCTGCCACGACCGATTGCCCTTCCAGCCAGGAAAAAAGGCCTGACCCTCTGTCTCTCCCCTGCCGTTGGTGCAGCACTCTGGGCACTACGTGCACAGCAAGATATTTCTGGGTGGGCACCTTTGGTCTGGAAGGAATCTTTGTATGCAATTTTGGGATTCGGGCTGGCAGTTGGGAGGCAGAGCTGAAAACAGGAAACAACAGCCCTTATCGCCAGGAAAGAGAGCCTGGAAGCTTAGGGTTTTTGGTGCTGTTGGTTTGTCTTTCTGTGCTGGCACCTTTGTTCTGGGAGGAAGTTTTTGGGCCAGGCTGTTCAATTCTTCTTCCCAGAACAAAGGTACCAACACAGAAAGCTCTTGGTGCCCATGGAGTTCCCAGTGTGGCCCAAAAACTGAACTACAAAGCCAAAGCTTCCAGGATTTCTTTCCTGGCGATAAGGGCTGTTGTTTGCTTTTTTCTGCTGTGTCTGACAACTGCCAGCCCGACTCTCAAAATTGCATAAGGACAAAGATTCCTCCCACATCAAAGGTGCTAGCACAGAAGGCTCTTGCTGCTCATGGAGTGCCCAGGCTGACACACAAACTGAACCACAGAGTTTTCCGCCTTTCTTTCCTGGTGATAAGGGCTGTTTTTTGATTTTTCAGGCCTGCCTCCCAACTGACAACCAACTCCCAAAATTGCATACGGATGAAGATTCCTCCCACGCCAAAAGTACATGGAGAGAAAGCTCTTGCTGCCCATGGAGTATCCAGGCTGACCGAAAAACTGAATCACAAAGAAAAACTTCCAGGCTTTCTTTCCTGGTGATAAGGGCTGTTGTTTGCTTTTTTCAGATCTGCCTCACAACTTCTTGCCCAGCTCCCAAAATTGCATAGAAACAAAGATTCCTCCCACATCAAAGGTGCCAACACAGAAAGCTCTTGCTGCTCATGGAATGCCCTGCCTAGCCCACCAACTGCAGCACGAAGCCAAAGCTTCCAGTCTTCCTTTCCTGGGGAGATGGGCTGTTGTTTGCTTTTTTCAGCCCTGCGCTGAAACTGTCAGCCTGACTCCAAAAATTGTATACAGACAAAGATTCCTCCCATAACAAATATGCCAGAACAGAAACCTTTTGCTACCCATGAAGCACCCAAGCTGGCCCACCAACTGCACCACAAAGCAAAAGCTTCCAGGCTTTCTTTGCTGGGGACAAGGGCTCTTGTTAGCTTTTTTCAACCCTTCACTTATTCTGCTTGCCTGAGTCCCAAAATTCCATACGGACGAACATTCCTCTCAGATCAAAGATGCCAGCAAAGACACGGGGACATTGGTGACATCACTGAGGACAAGCGTGCCACCCCTGGGGACAAAAGTGGCATCACAAAGACATTGGTGACAACTTTGAGGACACAGGTGCCACCCCTGGGGCACCCCTGCCCAGTGCAGCCTGTGTTGTGGGGAGTGCGCACACAGGGAGAGGCTGGGCCGGACGAGGG